TGATTAGCTTCCCCCCCCCCCGCCCTCTGTCTTTACTGAGGCACTTCCCACTGATGGTTTTGGTTATTGTTTTTCATTTCTTCCTCATGTAGTGTTTTGCTCAAGATGCTTTGCAATGCTGGTTTTCTGGCTGCAAATTCTTTTAACTTTTGTTTATCATGAAAGATTTTTATTTCATTGTCGTACCTGAAGCTTAATTTTGCTGGATACAAAATTCTTGGTTGGCATCCATTGTCTTTCAGTGTTTGAAATACGTTGTTCCAGGATCTTCTCGCTTTCAGCTTCTGTGGTGAAAAATCCATTGTTAACCTTATTGGTTTACCCCTGAATGTAATTTGCCTCCTTTCTCTTGTAGCTTTTAATATTTTCTCTTTGTTCTGTATATTGGATATCTTCATAACAATGTGTCTTGGTATTGGTCTACTGTGATTTTGTATGCTTGGTGTCCTGTATGCATCTACAATTTGTACATCCATTTCCTTTTTTATATCTGGAAAGTTTTCTATAATTATTTCATTCATCAGGTTGCTCATTCCCTTGGTTTGAACCTCTATACCTTCATCTATTCCGATGACTCTTGAGTTTGGCTTTTTTATGTTATCCCATATATCTTGGATGTTTTTCTCGTGATTTTTTACCAGCCTTTCTGAGTTGGCTAGACTGTTTTCAAGATGATGTATTTTGTCTTCATTATCTGATGTTCTGGCTTCTACTTTCTCCACTCTGTTAGTGATACTCTCATTTGAGTTTTTAATTCGGTTTATAGTTTCCTTCATTTCTAGAATTATTGTTTGATTGTTCTTTATAATCTCTATCTCCTGATAAAGATGCTTAACTTCTTCTTTTATCTGTTTATGTAATTCATTTTCAATGTGTTCTTTCACTGTTTGAATTTGCTGTCTCATATCCTCTTTAAGGTTCCATTCCATCTGTCTAAGGTATTCCTTGAGTTCTTTATTTGACCATTTTTCTGATGACTCTAGGTCCTCCTGAATATTTAGGCTGTCCTGCATTGTTTGTACTCCTTTTCTTCCTTGCTTTTTCATGCTTCTCATGTTACTTCTTGTTCTGTTTGACTGCTGAGTTACTGTTTACTCTTATAAATTTATTTGATGCTTGGGAGGAAAGGTATTAGAAGGGAAGGGAAGACGTCACTAAAGAGAATGAGAGTAAGCAGGTATAATTCAAGGAAGGGGGAATAAGAAAATTGAAAAGAAATGAAAAAACAAAAGAAAAAATAGAAAAGAAAAAACATTTTAAAAAAATAAAAAAATTAAAATTAAAATTAAAAAAAAAATTTTAAATTTAAAAAAAATTTTAAAACCACAAGAAAAAAAATGAAAATGAAAAAAAAAACCCAAATTAAAAAAAAATTAATAAATGCAGTCTTAGAGTTTGATTAACTTCTCTTCCAGGAGGTGGAGCTGTGCCCACCGGGCCAAGCTTCTCCTCTCAATACGCGGGAACCAATCACTGTGCAGCAGCTCCTCCTCCCAGACTGGGCGGGTCTCCAATCCTGAGTGCCTAGGGCCTTCTCTTGTGTCTAGTCACTTCCCCACTTTTCCTCAAGCCAGGCCCCGCTCACCGGTGACACTCACCAAAATACTGGCTACACGCCAGGTCTGCTGCTCCCGGGAGCCCTGTTTTCATGAACGACTGGACACACTCTCCCTATTTGCCATTCCCTTAGACCCTAAGTTTGTAGAGCTTGGGGTTGAGAATGCTCAGCGAAATTTGCTTGCCCTCCGGTAGCCACGCCCCCGATAGCTGGTGCAAGAGACTTCAGTTGTCAGCACTGGTGAGAGCGGTAGCCGGGAGTTCCGCACCGTGGGTCCCGCGCCACTCCTGATTCCCTGGGTCTGGCTATCGCGCTCATGGGAGAGCTGGGAGGGGCCCTTAAGGTTTCCCAGCTGTGTGGAGAGGGAAGGCTAGGGGGTTACACACCTGTTGCCGCTGGTTTCAATGAAGTTATCTCCTCCGCCGCATTCTGGTGACGTCAGTTCTCTGCCATGGTGGTATCCCATGCAAATGATGACAGTTCGTTTCCCTTTGCTGGGTGACCAATGCAACGGGTGGGTCCTGACTGGCTCTCCCAAGCCCCGTCTCAATCCTGTGGCCACTGCCTATGAAGGCTCGGTTGGCATTTACCTCCGTAGGTGCAGAAGGGCGGACCAGTTGTTTCAGCGGGATTGTTTAGTGCTGAGTCACAGCAGTTTGTCTGCGAGAAGCAGGCGAACGGGAGCTTTAATTCAGCCAATTCAGGCTCGGTGTGTGTTCTGAGAGGCCCAGACTGTTCGCCCCAGATCCACGTCAGCTCAGCATTGCCTAGTGATCCTGAGCAAACAGCATTTAGACGGTTTACGACTCCCTATGCCCGCGCAGCTGAAGAGGTCAGAGACTTGATCTCTCCGTGCCAGCCGCCATGTTGGATCTCCTCCATTTATTTATAATTTTAAGGATAATAGTCCTTAATGATATCTTATGGATTTAATATTATTTGCATGTCATATATGCTATGGGACCTATCCTGAGGGAGGAGTGGAAGTTCCTGAGAAGCTGATAGAATGCCTTTACTTGTTGATTTATTCTCAGAATGTTGCATAACATTGCAGCTGATCTGTGAAAGAAGGAAATTTGTCTGGGCTTTATTCCAGTTGCTGGGAGATAACCTTCAACTCTTAGGAATTTCCTGAGGAATTGGAGTGTCTTTGCTGTCCATAGTGGACCCTGATACTGTATGCTATTGATGTCTCTTCATGGGGGGCCCTAGATAATTTAGGCTAACAAGATGATTCAGGTTGGGGCTGCCCATGCTCAAAGACTAACCATGTGATTAGAGTGTTGGGGCTCTGAGCCATGAGATACCAGGCCTGGCAAGGAGGAAATACTGGAGATAGGATTCAAACTCACTATTTGAGCAATCATGCCGATATAATGAATCCAAAAAAAATCTCTGATCATCAAAACTCAGAGTGTTCCTCTGGTTGGCAATACTCTCTGCATTTCCATATATTAAGTGCTGGAAAGGTGACAAATACATGGGGTCAATGGAATTTTCATATTTGGGACCCTTCTAGACTTTACCCCATGTGACCATCCCTTTAATTCTGATCTGTATTCATTTAATACAATAAAACTGTAATCATAAGTATGATACAATCCAAGCTCTGTGGTTCATTCTAGTAAAATATTCCTGAAAAGAGTATTAAAAGATACTTAAAGCAGGACAGTGGCCATGGAAATTGGAATCTGCTAAGGAGTATGTAACAACTCACCTACAGAATCAACTAGCCCTGCAAACGGACAGCTCTGGAGCATCTGGCCCACACCTGTCATTGCCAGCAGTCAGATTGGGACAGGGGTGACCCACAAACTCTAAGCCACATTGAGTAGGAGGCTGCAGTGGACCAAGAAGCCTACATCACTGGCCCATGTGGAGTCACCACAGGTGCAGATTTTGGTGGCAGTAGCAAATAAAGAAGAAAAAAATACATCAAAGAAAAATAATTAAATGAAAGACACTGTTGTTCCCAATATGACACAAAACTTCAATAAGGAAAATATTTTTGAAACCCTAGTTATATTTGATATAATTTAAAAAATTAATTTAATTTCTAGTCCTTTCTATTTATTCTGTCTGAATTTTTGTTACTTCTTATTTAATAACTTTTTAACAGTGAGTTCTGTAATATCAAGGTATAATATTGTGTGAATAAAATGTAATTTCTTGAATTTTTAGGGTATATACCTAAAACTCAGATATGTTCACAAAAATGGTTTTCCACACTGTTTTCACAAACATAATACTAAAATTAGACGTAAATATATAATTACCTTCAAAAATGTTGAAATCTAGATTTATTTAGTATTCATTAAGTGAATCTTATCATAACTATCTCCCAATATAAGCTTTAACTATTAAAACTTGGTTGTAATACCAGTCATTCTTACATTTCTTTTATCCCTTATTCCCTTTTATTTGTCTTTATTGTGTTCAAACATTATTGGGAGTCGGGGGAAGAAAGCAATACAATGCCTATTGTAAAGGGATAAAGTCCAATAGACATGAATGTGAATAATTTCAGTACAGTGGAAGAGGCATAATATCACACTGTACTCTATGCAGGTGTGGCAAAAAAAGAGAAGGAAGAGACTGTTTCCACTTGAGCTTCTCAGGAGAAGTTCTATAGTAGAGGAAGAAGGACCTATGAAAAAATTCTGGAGCACAGAAATGAGATTTTCTGCAACACTGACAAAGCATATAAGGAATATTTAAGTCTTGTAGTTATTTGAGGCAGAAAGATCAGAGTGTGCAAAGGCACTAATGCATGAAATAATGCAGCATTATGATTATATCTGAATGTCTGGAATATTAAGATGAATATGGAGAGTCCCTCTTTTTGTAATGAAGGTGCAGAGGTAGGCTACAGTGAGTTCATTAGTCATTATCTTTTATTCTAACATAGTGACACTTTATAAATAGTAGATAAAGTTGAATTTACCCTCCCTATGTCTGTGTTCCTCATCTGTAAGATATAGAAAACCATATTACCTACCTTGGAGGGTTGTATGAAGATTTAATGAGACAATTCATACAAAGGATTTAGCTAGTGCCTAGCAAATGACCACTGCTCAAAACATACAGGGTGAAGAGGCAGTTGGTTTGGGTTTCTTAATTCTACAAAAAGCTATATAATATAAAGTTATAAAGGGGACTGTGCAGAATTACAAGAGAGGATGAAGTCTTCAGCACTCACTTATACATTCAGTCCGGTCCAGGGAGCTAGCTCTCCAAAGCATGTCTCCCATCATCCCTTACTCCATTCCTCCCTATCAGCTGGTTCCTCCTACCTCATTCCCAACTCTGGGACACATACCTCAGTTCTACTACAACATCACTTTGCCCTAACACCATCCCATTAAACACCCTGACAGCAGGAATGAGTGAGTCACACAAAGCAGCATTAGTAGTAGCAAAGGAAGTAGTAGTAGCAGATATTTACATGGAACTTACCATGTACCAGGTCCTATTCCAAACACTTTTAGTTTTCAGTTAATGAGGAAACCCATCATGAAGCTGATTGCCTCAAGAAAAAAATTATATTTTAATTGTTTAACTTATTTTATTGTCACAATAACTCTATGAAGTAGGTACTGTTCCCCTTGTTTTGCATATGAGGAAACTAAAGTCTAAAACCCAGTAAGTAACAGAGCAAAATTTTGACCAGAGGTTGTCTCCTACCAGATCCGTGGCCCTGATCACTACTCTTTATTGTCCACATAATAATCTATTATGGGTGGAGATGGGACAGAGGGGATGTCACTAATAAATGTTTTTGCTTTTCAAATATTTAGTTAAGATTAAGGTCTGAAGAAAGTATCATTTTGTACTTCACTTTCTCCCTGCTCAAACAGCTACTTTCCTACATTCTTAACAACCTCTGGAATACATACTCGCTCAGACCCCATAGGCAAAATTCACCCCGAGAGTCTTCATTTCTTTCTTTCTTTTTAAACGTTTCCCTTCCTACTATGGAGAGTTACTAGAGAGAGCATGCCCTCTAGTGGTTCCACGCTACCTTGCAGTCAAATGCAATAATAATGTACGTACAATAATCACAGATCTTTCTTTCCTAATGTGCCAGGGCAGGAAATACATGATAACAAAGAAAATATTGAAATCAAACAACGAAATCAATAGACTCCGTAAATAAAATGGCTCCAACACAGTCTTTCTTTTTAAACGCTTCCTTTCCATCATGAAGTCTGAGCAATATTTCCTACAATTGTGCAAGAGTTGCTAGAGGAAGCATGCGATCTAGTGGTCCAATGCTATCAGGCAGCCAGATGCAACCGCCACTAGAGTTCCAGTGACATTTCTTTCTTACTGAAGAGGCAGTGGCAGAACCCACATGCGAATAGAGAAAATATTGAAGAGCAAATCAAAACGTCAGTAGTAGATCTCTGAGCAGAATGAAGAGGCGAGAACGATCCCCAGACCGAGCAAAGCCTCGTGGTTGTATCCCAGAGTCTAAATCCCGCCGCCATAGTTTCCACCAAGCCCAAGAGAAAGGCTGAAGAGTACGCTGAAGGTAAAGCCAAGGTGAAGGACCAACTAGAGAGAAGATCTGCAAGGTTGTCTGCTAAACCTGCTCCTCCGAAGCCAGAGCCCAAGCCTAAAAAGACCCCTGCAAAGAAGGAAAAGAAGGTATCCAAAGGGAAAGAGGGAGAAACTGACACTGGTAAGGATGGGAATAACCCTGCAGAAAATGAAGATTTTCATTTAGAACAGACGACACAGAAAGCTGAAGGTGCTGGAGATGCCAAGTGAAGTGTGTGCATTTTCAATAATTGTGAACTTCTGCTGACTGTACGGTTTGGAATACTATTTTTTAGTCAAGTTTATAAAAATACAGAATTTTGTTTTACTTTTTTTTTTTTAAAGCTATGTTGTTAGCATTTCGTTTTTATTTGGGGGGGAAGGAGAATATGTCACTAATAGAATGACTCCGAAGCTGGATTGCTGGGGCATTGCCTGGGACACCTTTCCCTGCTAGTTTTGAAAGACTTACTCTCAACTCCCAGGAGCCACCTTGGCCAAAAAAAACCTTCATCTTTATGTCCTCCTTCCTCTCTGCAATCAGCATGGACTTAACTCCCCTAAACCCAGAGATGGATTGAGACCGGATCCCCCACCCAGAAGTTGGTTTTACTAATACATACTTTCCAGTGTCCCTCAAAGGAGCAGCAGTTCCTTTCCTAAATTCTGGATTTTCTGACTGATAAATCTTAAAGTTAGGGTTGGCTCATGAAAAATTGTTAAACAACATGCTAAATGTGAAACTTACCCTGTACAGAGCATCAAATGAAGATACCATTGAGTTTTATAGTAGTTTTTGCTCTGGTAGTTCAGAAAGGGAGTTTAGAAGCTGCTGTATACTGTTGATGATTGTCTGCCCATGTCCTGGGTGAAATGCATGATTATTTATGAACAGTATTGGAGGGGGTGCTACCGAGGAATATTCAGGGGCACTCAACCATTAAGCCACAAACCCAGCCCTATTTTGTATTTTATTTAGAGACAGGGTCTCACTGAGTTGCTTAGCACCTCATTTTTGCACAGGCTGATTTTGAACTCGAGATCCTCCTACCTCGGCCTTCAGAGCCACTGGGCTTACAGGCGTGTGCCACTGTGCTCAGCCAAAAAGTATTTTTAATAAAGCTGGATTGGCAAAATAGATATTAATACACTGTTTTGTTTAACTGAGGATATACTACTATTGCTAAATTCATGGGGCAAATTATGAGAACATAAAAGACAATAATTTTACTATTGACTCAGATGCTGGCAATACAAGTGCACTAGACCTTTTTAAAAAATACATGCTATACACATATCATATCTTTTAAAGGGTAACTGAAAATGACAATCCTGGAAAAATTTTGAAATAAATGCCAGATCATAAAATTTCTGTGAAAACCATCACAAACATCCTCAGGCATAGGGACTCACAAGTAAATAAGGTTCTCCTTTTTTCTTTCTTTCTTTCTTTCTTTTTTTTTAAGAGAATATGTGATTGATAGAAAGCTTCTGAGTATGAGTTAAACACAAGCTATGTGTATATATTTATGTACAATTAAAAAGCAATTAAAGGGGCTGGGGATGTGGCTCAAGCGGTAGAGCGCTCGCCTGGCATGCGTTTGGCCTGGGTTCGATCCTCAGCACCACATACAAACAAAGATGTTGTATCCGCCGAAAACTAAAAAATAAATATTTTAAAAAAAAATTCTCTCCCTCTCTTTCAAAAAAAAAAAAAAATTGGGGCTGGGGATGTGGCTCAAGTGGTAGCGCGCTCGCCTGGCATACGTGCGGCCCAGGTTCGATCCTCAGCACCACATACAAAACAAACATGTTGTATCCACCGATAACTAAAAAATAAATATTAAAAAATTCTCTCTCTCTCTCTCTCTCTCTCTCTCTCTCTCTCTCTCTCTCTCTCTCTCCTCTCTCACTCTCTCTTTAAAAAAAAAAAATCAATTAAAGAACCAGACACAGTGGCACCTGCCTATAATCCCCGTAGCTGAGGAGGCTGAAGCAAGAGGATCATAAGTTCAAAGCCAGCCTCAGCAAAAGTGAAGCACTAAGCAACTCAGTGAGACCCTGTCTCTAAATAAAATACAAAAAGGGCTATGGATGTGGCTCAGTGGCTGAGTGACCCTGAGTTCAATCCCCAGTACAAAAACAAAAACAAAAAAAAGGCAATAAAAGAGGTGATTTTTATAACTCTACAAAAAAAGTAAAACAATGAATGAAGTGTGGTGTAAAATTACTAATTATAATCCAAATGAGGCTTTAAGCTAACAAATTTACCACAGCTGTATTACATAATACTTAGTGTTGCTACCTCAAGTCTAAGACTCTATGAACAGAAGGGAAATTTTTCTTTATTGCTGCTCACTTAGCCTTCTCATACTGACTCAGGAGCACAGAAAGGAGGTTTTCTATAGATATGACATGTAAATAGCACGTAAGTAATATTGAAGTCATATCACCAAGAGCAACTCACATGAAAATGAGTAAGAGAAGGAAAACAACTAAATGATTTATAGTAACTCTTAACTGAAATCACTACAATTAATGAACAGCTACCATCTACATGAGGTATGGGAAGTAATGAAAGCAGATAAAAAGAAAACATTATCCTTTTATGTTAAAAGCTAACAAACTTGTAAGAGGACAATTTCAATAGCAATTCAAACAAAATGAGGGTTTTTCACTTCTCCAACTGGGAGGATGTAAATGTTTCATGAGATAGTATCTGAGCTAGACTCTCACAATGGGAAGGATCTCATCAAGCCGATGAGAAAGGAAGGTATATTCTAGGCTGAGGGGACTTTAGCCAGCATTCAGTACTCATGTGTGTGAAGAATGACTGCACTCCAGTTTGCCAGAGCACGTTGTAACTGAAAGGGAAAATTGAGAGTTGCGGATAGAACAATATTTTGGACTTCATTCTGGACGCAAAGAGGAATCATAAAAGCCATGAGTAGGGGAGAAAGGACACAGGTAGTACAGCTTTGCTTCAGAAAGATTATTCTAGTGGCAACATGTAAGCTGAATTGCAAGGGAGAGAGCCAGGGGCAAGCAGGCCACGGAGCATAGAAGAAGTGAAGCAGGCCCAAATTCCAACAGGGAGGGGAGATATCAAATACAATCGAGGGAATTTTGCTGGGAAAGTGATTGTCCGCATTTTTCCCCAAAAAATCTGAGGTTTAAGACATGCTTTTCTGTCAAACACAGCGCCTCAGAATCTCAGCAATGATAATAAAGGACACAGTATGGAGGTCATCACAGCCCTAAGATCTTAGTTCATTTTCTGCTGCTACAATAGAATGCCACAGACTGGGTGTGTATGAAGAATAGAGAGGAGATTTGAATCAAAGGCGTCGCTGACGGCAACCGAGCACAGGCTCCTCCGTAGCACCCGGCCCAGGCGCTCTCACGTCCTCTGTCCAGAGCCGACTTTCAGCCCCTGGATCGGGAAGGCAGAGCAGGAGCAGTACCGGCGGCCGAACGCCCGCACCCTCTGCCGCCAGCCAAGGGCCCGCGCTGCCCGAGCCACAAGTCCGAGGCCCCAACGAGGCACAGTCGGCGGAGACATGACTGGATTGAGGAGATCAAAAAGCCGCAGAAGAAGGGATCGGGTTGTAGCTCAGGGGTAGAGCGCTCACCTAGCACGTGCAAGGTGCTGGGTTCAATCCTCAGCACCAAGTAATGTGTATTTTTTTAAAAAGCTGCAGAAGAGCACCGACCGCAGATGCATTTTTAGCTCACCTCTTTGAGGATGCCTCTCTCCCCTCCCTATGCGCTGGCAGAGTCACTGTCTTCTCCAAGTAAGTGCAGCGGGTCAGGAGGATCCTCAGCGTTGAGGAAGGACTTAGCTGAGCTCCTGCAGCAGCATCCTCGGATGTTATCTGGGACTCTGGAGCCACAACTAGATACAGTGGTATCTGAGGTGCCACCTGGATTTTGCTGTCTCTGAGCAGTGTGTGCATGTTGCCCTTTAAATTTTCTTTATGAAAGAGAAGACTTGGCTGGGGATGTGGCTCAGGGGTAAAGCAGTTGCTTGGCATGTGTGAGGCCCTGGGTTTGATTCTCAGCCCTGCACATAAATAAACAAGTTAAATAAAGGTTCATTGGCAACTAAAAAGATATTTTAAAAAAAGAAGAAGAAGACTGCGTGTTTCCTCTGTAGCAGAGGTATTATAGGAGACAATCAACACAGTTTCAAAGGCCTGAAAAGACAGATTCACTTTAGTTGCTGTGTTACTCATAAGACCGTTTAAGGTTTGGGAAGACATCAGATCTGTCATGTTATAAAGAAGCATATTTACTTATTATTTTAGATCTTTTGGTACTATATGCATTTTTACCATACTTGTTCATTTATTAAAAATGTAAGGGAAAAATAAAAGAAGACCGCTTCCTTCGTCCGTTACATGAAAGACCCAGCTCTCCTAGGGTACAAATCTCTGCCTTCCAGATTAATATCATTAGTACTTGTCAACAAATATGTTGCTTTTCAAAACTAAACTGGGAGTTGAAAAAGAAATAATTTTTTGTTTCATTTTGTTTTAGTGCTAGGGACCAATGCCAGAGCCTTGAACATGTTAAATATATTCTCTACAACATGTTAAATATATTCTCTACTACCAGCCTGAAATTTTTCTGATTGCTTCTAGTAAATTTCTATTAAAATCACTCAGAAATTCCATCTCATAGAATTTAGCATTTTATTCTTAGTTGTAAGTCATAGATATCATATTGGCCCATAATTTTATTTTATTCTAACTTTTTTTTTCTTTTGGTATTGGGAATTGAACCCCAGGTCACTTAACCCTTGAGCTACATCTCCAGTCCTTTTTATTTATTTATTTATTTATTTATTTTAATTTTGAGACAGGGTCTCACAAAGTTAGTGATCCTCCTGCCTCAGCCTCCCAATTCTCAGGAATTATAGGCATGTACCAATGAGGTACCCATCATCAATCCAGGATTTTAAAGAATTTTTTCAATAGATATTACACCTTATTTTTATATGTTAAAATTAATGTTCCTCATTTACCTCTGAAGAACCACTTATACGTGTGTTCCCTACTTCAACTTCATTCCTGATATGTTTTCAAGGATTGTTTTGTTCTTTGTTTTTGATAGCATTTATTAAATAGTCTGTATGGCAAGACAATAACTACTTAAGGGGGAGATAAGATTTCTTTGTACTTTTAAGTGAGACTGTAATTCTTTAGGCACTAAGTCAGAACTAGTAATGC